AGGATTTTCATCACTCCAAATATGCGTATTGTGCATATTGAACACGCCATCACGAGTGAATGAAGCCTCGTCAGTATACAATAATATTTTTAGAAAATCAGGAATATCAACACATTTTTGAATCATCCATTCACAAAACTCCACTCTCTTTTCTTCATCACCTGGATATAAGGCCTGGACTTTTTGGATGTGATAAGGATGTAAACCTTTCTTTAAGTGTCCGCCACACAACAAATGAGGACACTCCAATTTCAAGACCTAGTCTTCTACAACTTAATTGAGGCCGGTTTTCAACAGCTTCCAATATTTCTTCTTCGGCCGCCAATGTTCTTTGTGTTCTTGTTCTCCCTCGATCTGCATGGACACTCTCAAATTTTCCATGGTCTCTTAGATGCTGAACAGTTGAAATAAACGTACGACAGTCCGGAATTCTCCGATTTGAAAACCGTTCGCGATACAGGATTTGTGCTTGCCGAGAATTTTCTCCAGCTGCCCCATAAACCAGCACTATATCCGTTAGTTCAATATTCGTAAATAGTGGCATCGTAAAAAAATATTTAAAAGTAATCGTAACAACACTTTTTACCAACTTGAAAATGACGCGCTCGTGTTAGCCAGATTCGTAAATCAACTAAAATTTTAATAATCTATAGTTTCAAAAATGTATAGTTTAAAAACAATCATTTATCAAATATTCTAGTTTTTTGATAACGAGGGTAGTAAAAACCAGTCTTCGGAAATAGAAATTAATTCGAAAATCTTGGCAACATGGTTATTTCTTACAAGACTAGTTTTCTTATCATCTGACAAAAACTTGGATATTAATTACTGTTGATGTTTAAAATAGGTAAATAAACCTAATTTATATAGGTCATCCTCAACATATCAGTGAAGTACGTTTGTTTTAGAAATAATTTTCAAAAATTAATAACTCCCTTAATAAGGGGTATTTTTAAAAAATAATATTTTTCTACATTCAGTGGGGATCTGCGCAATACCCAGTTTTAATATGTACGTGTATTTCAATAACACCCTGTATACAGCATTTTCGGCCATCGATTATATCTGGGACCTTACATGTTGTCAAATAATTAATTGTATTAGCCATAGGTTTGGAATTTTGTATTGTCCTAACAATATTAATTACTAAATTCTTTCCCCTGGTATATTTGCTAATGAATTATTGAGTTATTTGAATTGATTTACGGATACCGTGTTATTTCTCCCTACTTTTACTGATCTAACATTTTCGTTTATTTACTGTCATCAGAGTTACAAAGGGGTAGGCTTTGAAGAAAAGGAAAATTATAAATATAATTTGTAAGCAATATATGTATACATTTTACCTGATTGGCTTATATTTTGTTTCTTGAACCGTCAACACCCGAATTAACCCCATTTTAGCTCACGAAAATTTTACATCGTATCAATTCGATTTAAAGCCTGGTATGGATACTCTCATTAAAAAATAGTTTGTTACTAACTTTGATCCCTGGAATTTTTCCGTTTTCTTCATTGAAGCTGCCTGAGTACCTTCGAAAGCTGCATCAAATGGTTGTGAAGCAAACCTCCTAAATAAAACTGGCGCCCGAGGAATATCCGATGTTAGTTCGTCAAGAGTCAAGAGTTAGTATTACTTTCTCTAAGGTAAAAAAGCATCTTACAAAAGTAATCATTCTTTAATGTTCTATTCTGTATATTTGTTATAACAAACAGCTATCAAATTACAAAAACACAATTACCTTAATAATACTGATATTTAATTAAGAAAAAAGAAACAGTATGTCTAATCACAACTATGCAATAGGTTAAAAAAATTCCGCGAAAAGTACACATCAAAAGTTCCTAACTTGTAACTTTGTATATAAACATAAAACCGAATCTTCCTATACCTCATTCGTTCATTCGCTTCGACGTCATTAAATCTTGATAATTTACTAATATAAAATTTAATAAGGTCTAATATTTATTATGCTTGTTAGTTAGCGCTGTATCCGTACGAGTGCCTATATATACGCAACCGCCTTCCTAGCAGTTGCACTTACTTAATTATTGGTTAAATGACGATCTTGATAACAGCCATCAGGGAAGGACTTGTATGGTAAATTTTATGCGTAAACGACTATTTATGCCCCACACTGTCATCGCTGTAATCGTAAAATTAAACAATCTTCTTTCACTGATACCAAATGGGTTAGAAAGTTCGATTTTTTTATTCAACTTTGATCTATTTCATTACATTGATATGAACGAAATGTAAAATGTTCATTGATATTAAACGCGAATTTGACTGGTGATTCAAAACAGCAAATAAATAACTAATAGATCCAATTAAAATTAGTAAGACAGTAACTCAAAATTATACCCACAAAAAATATTTATTAACAAAAGATTACATACGTGTACGATTGAAAAAAGAACATCAACGTGTTGTCATTCGTTGTGCTCATTTGAGTTTGTTAATTATATTCCACGCCTTGTTCTCAATGATCATAGGTAGTACCCCCCTTTTCCCGCTCAGCTACCAAGTATTTTAAAAAGTTAACACTCTAAAAAGTGCCTTTTATAACTGTACCAACTCTGCCCTCTCTACTCCTCCTACGCCGCTCCCAACTCTAGCCTGTAATGTCAGTCTTCGTTTTCGTGTGAAGCTACTTCGTTGTTTTTTGCATTCTGCCCGAAAAAATTGGATAAATAATAAGAAATTTAGGAAAAAAAAAACCTCAAGTTCTTCCGAAGACTCCTCAAGCTCATCCAATGAGCTTAAGTTGTTAAAACTCAAAAATAAATTGCTCAAACGAAAATTGAACAAACAACGCCATGATCATGGCGGTAAAAAGCGCCGACATGTGTCATCGTCAGAAGATGGAAGGTCCTCGGAAGAGGACGCTTATAATGAATCAAAGAAGGAAAACGATAGGTTTATAATAACGATGTTTGTTTAAGATCAGAAACGAGGCTAATAATTTGTATGCAATCATATATATGACTTAAGGCCTAGGGGTTCATAGAAACAATACTTATTAAAACTATGCTTATAAGGGCACGGCCTAAGGGTCTATGTTGACCCATCTCTACAGTTCATCAAATTTCTAGAGGTGTTCGACGCCCAGACAGAGAACGCGCTACGTGTGACTAAGATAGCTATTGTACAGTCTGCTAAACAAGTTATTTTAAATAGTTTTTAATATTTTTAGGTAATTAAATTTTAAAAGTGTGGAATAGTTTAGGGATTAAATTGGTCTGATTGGACTTTCTTAGAACGTTTTTAAAAGCAACTAAAGATAGTATGTAGAATTAAAAATAATTATTATGCCATAAAAGGTATTTTGGAATTCCTTCAACCTTTTGAAATTGAGTCAGAAAATATAAATTTTATAGGATAGCGGAAAATACCTATAATTTTTTTGTAGGCCTTTGTAAATCGTGGGAATAGTTTATATTTTATTTCTACCTTATTAAGGAAAATGGTACCTATTATTAATAACGGTTGTTTCTGAAACATTACTAAAATTTTCTAAATTTTGTTTTTCTACAAAATAATAAACTATACTATTTAGAAAAAAATTTATTTCTCTTATAATTTTATAAAAAATAACAGGGGAATATTTACATTTCTTGATCTATTAAACAAAACGATAAATTATCTCGACGAATGACACCATGTTCTAGTACGGAAGCTAGCTTTACATTTTTGTTGGTGGTTTCATGGGTTTCATATCAATTTTTTGTAATTGTAGTTTACACGTACATATAGCTCTTAACACTTGTTTGCTTTATTAAAAAAGTGTGTTGTTGTGATTTACGTCGAAATAAGTCAAAAACAACTTGAAACCCCATATAAAATCAAAAAGGAGAAACGGAAAAAAATTGAGCCTGTAACTGAACACAACTCAGAAACAAAAATAGCTATCTAATAATAAAAAAATAAAATTTGATTCTTGTGCAGCTTCATCTATATCATTAACTGTTTTTGGTTTTTTAATGGTTTTTCTTGGTGATGAAAATTCCGATATCTCACGGTTATCGATTCTTTTTTTCTCTCCAGAAATGCGGACGACAGTGTTTTTAGATACTCCTGTGGCTGCAGCAACACGATCATTTACATTTTTAAATGGTATTGAAGGTGAATTAAAGTTTCCTTCTCTTCTCATAAACTCTATAACATTGGCTATTATTTTGCGAGATTGACTGTTAATCACGCGGCCTCTTAATTTGCTATTAAACTCCATACTTAGGTTCTATTAAACTGTAATGAGCAAAAAACACAAATGAAAATAAAAGAAATGTTTTAGCAAAATTTACATCTGACATTTACGTCTGAATGAAATAGTGAAATACTTGATGCGCAGAGTGTACTTTCATTGCGTAAATCCGTCGGGATGCCTGTCAGTAGTGCTTTCTCTGTCTAGCCGTCGAAAGCCTCTAGAAATTTGATGAACTGTAAGCTCATATGAGCTTGAATCCAGTAAATATGTATTTGTAAAGGAAAATGTTCCTACAAACCAAGAAACCAGATGTATTCAATGACCAAAGGGTTATGCAGACCCGTTACTGAGATCATAAGGGCTTGATTCCAGTAAATGTATAATTTTTATAGGAAAATGTTCCTAAAAACAAATAAACTAGATGTTTTTTGTTACAGAATAATAAATATATGTGTTATGCGACATAAATATTAAAATGTGTGTATTATTTTAGAACAAAACTCAGAACCAACCGATCCCTTGGGAATTGAATTTGTAGAAGTTCCTTCTCTCAGTGGGGAAATACTTAAAGTACTAAAGCCCAAGCAAGCAACTGTTAGTGATGTGTCTAAAGACATTTATAAAGATTTAGTGAGCAGGTGGAAACAAATAATAAAAAAGGGACTTAATAGTGATGATAGAGAGGAATTACTAAAAAAGTACCAACATCCCCAAAATTTCGTAAGTCTCTGCTCTCCAAAAGTTAATTAAGAAATAAATGCAGCTATAGATGCCAGAACAAAGAAAAGATTAATGATGCAGTTAGCTGATCTCTTTTTGGATCAGACTTTAATTAGACAGAGCCTAATCAGTCTAAATTTAGACAAGGAAGTAAAAGATATGGCGGGAATTAAAGCTACAGATGGTTTTCTATTCGAAGCAAATTTGACTGACAGGGTTAAGAAATCAAAGGCTTTGAAGAAATCTGGAGACGAACTAAAAACTTCTAAACATAAGAAGCATTTAAACTTCAAACAGCCGTCCAAACGTCTTCCAAGTGTTGGCGGCTACACTCCATACAGATATACAAGAAACACTCCACTGAAATACGTAGGCAAATCCGGACATCATCACACAGTATCTCAAAAGCCGAGGGACAGGTCCAAGAGGGGATCAACAAGAATGATGAGATATTAACTTCTTAAGTAAGTTCTGAAGCCGGTCAGTTGGCCAGGTTCATACCCCAAATAGGAAAAAATTTGTGAAGATAAGGTAATCCTTACATGGTTAAATGGATACAAATCACCCTTTAATAATAAATCAAGGCATAATCAGTCTCCAAAAATTCAAAATCTGGTCAGAGAACAGGTTGGTAAAGCCATTAATATAATCCCCTGTAACAATTTCATTAAGGAGATATTTACAGATGCTTCTCAAATAGGATGGGGGGCAGTCTGTGGCAGTGAGACACACCAAGGGGTTTGGGGCCCTGAAGAGAAACTTCTCCATATAAATGAATTGGAATTCAGAGCGGCGTTTTTTGGGTTGAAATTCTTTGCACAGTATTTAATAAATTTTGAAATTTTGATGCGAATTGACAACACCACTGCAATATCATACATCAATAGAATGGAAGGTACCAAATTTAAAAATCTCAACAATATAACAAGAGAGTTATGGCAGTGGTGCGGCGAAAGAAAAATACGAATTTTTGCATCTTATGTAGCCTCAAAAGAGAATATAGCTGACGATGAATCAAGGAAATTTACCAGTGAAACAGAATTTGAATTGTCTTCCAGGGCAATGATGGTAATAACTAAAAAAGTTGGTGTCCTAGACATTGACGTGTTTGCCACCAAAATAAATTCTAAATGTCACAAATTTGTATCCTGGAAAACAAACCCCGAAGCAGTGGCGACTGATGCCTTCACAATTTCTTGGTCAGGGTGGTATTTTTATGCATTCCCTCCTTTTGTGATGATATTAAAAGTTTTGCAGAAGATCATATCTGATGGGGCAGAGGGAATTATAGTGGTGCCGCGGTGGCCTTCCCAGACTTAAAGTAAAACCTTATTACTTTCTGGGTCAATAGAATCTCTCATCCCATGTGGAGGTCTCTAACGTTGATGGCAGGTCAATTGTCTTGGAGGCTTTCAGCCGAAAAGGGTTGCCAGATGCAATAATTGAAGTCTTGTTAGCTTCCATATCAACCGCAACTATAAAATAGTATTCTTTAGGCTTAAAACAGTGACACGACTATTATATAAGAAACTCGGTGAATATGTTTGAATTTCTTGTCTCCAATATTCTTTTTTTCTTAACAGAAATTTTTTAGGTACATGTTTTTTCTTGGTGTTTGAGGTTTTATCTCTCTCTCTGACTTCTCTGTCATTTCCTTTTTGAGGTTGGTTTTTGGGCCATGTTGTCTGTCTTAAACGAATATTTTCGGATTTTTTACCACCCCTAAAAGGGAGTTCCAAGATTTGTATTGCTCGCATTGTGGATTTGCGGTTCTTAAAAAGAAAAGGCCCTACCTTACTCGGTAAGTCACTCAGACATAATTTAAATTGCATGCACCTCTATCTGGCTTTATTTATGCTTTTAGGCTTATTAGTTATAGTTACGATACTATTCTGTACTACCATTATCATACTATCACCTTCGACTGCTTTTATCTGCTAGATAGGGTACTCCTGAGTTTATTATTTCCGCTTATTGGCTACTCTTGAACTTGCGAATGTTACAGTGCTGTCTGTCACCCCCATCGAACACAAGTAAGATCTCTCCATTTTTTTACCTATTCGCTGCATGTAACTATCGTTTGGGAGACTACACACACCCTAAAACGGAAACGATTTAAGGGTTAAATCATACATATATAGATTTTCTATATGTACATGTACATGTCAAGATATTTTTTTAAAGAACTACCTAATAATTTAATAGAATTAAAATAAAAGAATACTTGCTCACCTACTCGTTGTAAACAAGTAGTATTACTTGGGCCTGAGGATTAAGAATCCTGTAAATAGGGACCCTTGTAGAATGTAGATAAATTGTACATATACAGTGTTAATTTCTGTTCTTTATAAAATAACAGATTGTCAGCAATTTTGGGAACACTTTGTACATAAACTCGCTCTATTCCTGTAACGTAAAACAACCATTATTTGAGCAATTAAGTAAAAACATCAGTAAATAGAGTTACCTGATTTATTTTCTATGTCCCACCTCTTCAGAGCTAGCTATTATACAATTTCACCCCAATCAATCGAGGGAGCAATGTAATAAGGCATTTCCTTTAGGAATCCCCTCTTTAGCATATTTTTTTAAATAAAAGGATCATCAATCGTAAGAATTTTCATCGTGGGGGGGGAGACATGTCCCCCATAGCCTCCCCCTGGAGCAGGGCCCCTGGGTGGTTAGATAAGTATTTTATGTATTTTTGTTGAATTATGTATCATATATTTATTTTTTTCTTGTTCTTTCACAATACTTATTGTATTCATCAGAAGCCTACGTGCTAAACAAAGTGTTCTTTGCATTTTATGGTCATGGAATCCATCAACAAATATTTTTACAGCCAAAAATTGCATCATATTTTCTGGAGCTAAAGGGTAGGAAATCGTACCAACCTGGTAATGTCCACTTCGTATTCTTAAAGGGTCTTGTCTTGTTTCTGTTTGCAATTTTTTTGGAAATGTTTAAGGTAATTAGTCAATGTTTTGGTAATTAGTTGATATAAGATAGATTTTAAATCTTTTTCTAATTGCGGCTTTAACGCCACCTTATAGCACTTTATTTCATCGTTCTTGGCTTCTTCTCTGTTTTCCACAACGTTCCTGTCTATTTTCTCTATTTCATCTAGATCTTTTTCACCTCTTTTATCTTCTTATCGACGCAAGACATCTAATTCTATATAAAAGGAATACCAGAATAAATTTTATTTTCCAAAGAAGAGATATCAGAAAAAATACCATTTTTTTATAGAAAACATTTCACATGAGAGTTTTTTTTTCCAAAGAAGAAATATCAAAAGAAACTTTATTTTTCAAGGAAGAAATTATAACTAAAGAAGCATATCCGAAAATAAAAACGTTTCCAAATCCAAACCTTTACATATTGTTGCCTATATAAGTCATTCTGCCTTACTTTCTCTCGTTCTCTGTAAACGATCTTCTAGTTTCTAATACAACTTCGTCACTTTTAAATCACTCAGTTTTTTTAGCCATTTTTCTCATTCTGTATTTTAAATATCCTACTTCTGACACCAATATAACATTTATTTACTCAAACAGTTTGTCGTTTAATTAATGTCTACTAAAACACTAATTTATTTTATAATTGAATTCATTTGTACTAAATGCAACACTAATTTATTTTTATTTTACTTATGCACTAATTTTCATTGACAATATTTATTTGAACAAAATGATATATCTATCTGAATCTGTAACGTGTGGAGTGTGGGTTATCCCACGGCACTTAGGTCTCATTAGGCCCATTGTACATCGTCCTAAGAAGATAGGTGGTCTGTTCAGGGTGAGTAGTGCTTGTCTGCTATCTGATATATCTATTAGAACTCCCCTGAACGGCAAAACTTAGTCTGTCTATTGATTTTAAGTCGTACTTTAAGCACACCTACAATTAGGATCTTAATTAGGCCGCATGGATTCTATTTTACAGTAACGGATTTAAACATTTCAAAGTGACAGTTAACAATTAGGTTATTTTTAAGTTACTTCTTATTTTCTTATGGGTTGCTTGGCTGCTACTATCCAAAAAACAAAAAATATTGCTTACTGGGGACCACTCTAATAACTCCCTTTCATTCACTTAATAAACACTAAAGAAAATGCTAACTTGTGCAGCAATTACATACAAGGGACCTCTCCAATAACTGCCTTTCATTCACTGATGTTATTCTCAATATACTCAGATTCTAATACTATGAATATACTATATCTAGATCCAAATGTAGTATCTGCCTCTAATTGGCTTAAAAGATTACCTTTTTCACTGATGTCACTGTGTGGCAATCAATATTTTACATAAACTATGCAATACCAATAATACAACTTCTTCTTTATGTTATTTATTGCAAAAGGAATACATTTTCTACTTTGGAAAACATTTATGTTTAAACTTCTACGCTCTTTCGTCTTACTCAAAATAAAAACCTTTTAAACAACATAAATATTTTTTTCATAATTTGTTGCTTATGCATTTTAGAAACAATTTCCTAAATATATAGAACAATCTTGTAGTATCCTGCCTTAATCCCAATCAAAGGCATACCCAAGATTGGGTTTCATGCAATTATTTACATATATGGTGCTCCAGACTTGGTCTTGAATATCCTAGACGTCTTTCAACTTAAAATAGCCTGCTTTTGGAGGCAGCTGTTTCTTCGACGAGCCCAGTATATTCTAGAATGGACGGTTCGGCAATGACGGACATGGTATCTCATAAAAGTTTCGGAGTTTGACTTATTTTTTCGAATATCCTTGATAACGGGAAAAATAGAGACTGTAACAGGTTCAAATAAGGCAGATATGAAAAAAATTGTTTATAGTTAGAATGAAGTAAATGAATCCAAATTTTAAGTTAAGTAAATTACAAATTTTATTGTCTATTAGAAATTTTTATGTAATATACTGTATTATTGAGATAATAATTTTAAAGTTGCATATTTTATATCAATATAACTTTATCTTTAATTATTTTGTTCACTCTTTAACTCATTTTTTAATTTTGGATTACTTTATTCGTTTTTTTCCTTATACTAGAAGTTCCTCGTTTGACATTGGTCTATCTCGTCTTAACTAGTTAAAAAATACATAAAAGTATTCACCGCCTTGTAGCCCTCGATTAGTATATTTCAAATCACGAAGTTCGGAAGAAAATTAAGACTGTAGTAGTGGATTATCAGCTAACTTTTAGCGCCAAAGAAAATGAGCCGTTTCTCACATAGCTGTGGCCAAAGCACCTCTTCGATTATATGATCGTGATCGTGCTCACGTTGTTCCCTTAAACTAATTCACATGATAGTACGGTAATTTATTTGATCTGTCATGCAGAAATTGGCAGGCGCATCCTCCGAAATGACATGGAATAATTCAATGATTGATGATACAATGCCCGTTTGTTATAAAATCGTCGGTTGGAACATGAAATGAACGTATTGCTATTAATAACGTTATAGGCGTCCCAGAGGATACGTTATTGAGTCAAAGGCGTACGCAGACTGATATACATTGAAGGTATAATTAAAAAAGTAGAAAATGTCAAGCCCCTTATAACCCTATTTACTCATAGATTGCTTGGGAGCCCTACGTTACATACTGATTCATATTTAAATTTACTTGTTAATATTGTTTATAGTTGTTACACCATGTACATAAAACAATATGGCACGTGTAAAAAGTACCGCAAAATTCATTAAAATGATACCACCGCCGCCGCCGCCGTCACCCATTATAAATGCAATTCCAAATCTGGTATTATCAGCTCCATTGTCTCTTACGGGAAATGTTTGTGAAAATGGACAAAATTTAAGCAGCAATTTAATACAGGGTGTTTCCGAACGTGGCGTCCAAATTTTAGGGGTGGTAGTTTGCATAATTTGAGAGCGATTAGCAGATTTCATTTTTCTAAAAAAATTATAATAAACAAAATAGAGCAATTATAAAACAAATCAAATAGCAGGTCCTACCCTGAGCGCGTAGCGCAATAGTCCTCAAAACAGATGCGATTTGCAATTTTGTCGATTCTAAAAGTAGCGCGCGCGGGTCTAGGCATCCCATCGCTGTGCAAGACCGTACCTGTTTATAATTTTTAATTAATTTTTAATTATTTTTATTTTAAATATTTTGGAAAAATGAAATCTGCGAATCGGTTTCAAATTATGCGAACTACCACCCCTATAAATTTGGACGCCAAGTTCGGAAACACACTGTATATACATGATGGCATCAGGTTTAAAAAAATAACCTGGACAAAGGCAGGTAGCAATTCTTTTAAACATAATAGGGTCCGAATCAGTACAGTTCATCAAATTTCTAGAGGCTTTCGACGGCTAGACAGAGAAAGCACTACTGACAGGCATCCCGACGGATTTACGCAATGAAAGTACACTCTGCGCATCAAGTATTTCACTATTTCATTCAGACGTAAATGTCAGATGTAAATTTCGCTAAAACATTTCTTTTATTTTCGTTTGTGTTTTTTGCTCATTACAGTTTAATAGAACCTAAGTATGGAGTTTAATAGCAAATTAAGAGGTCGCGTGATTAACAGTCAATCTCGCGAAATAATAGCCAATGTTATAGAGTTTATGAGAAGAGAAGGAAACTTTAATTCACCTTCAATACCATTTAAAAATGTAAATGATCGTGTTGCTGCAGCCACAGGAGTATCTAAAAACACTGTCGTCCGCATTTCTGGAGAGAAAAAAAGAATCGATAACCGTGAGATATCGGAATTTTCATCACCAAGAAAAACCATTAAAAAACCAAAAACAGTTAATGATATAGATGAAGCTGCACAAGAATCAAATTTTATTTTTTTATTATTAGATAGCTATTTTTGTTTCTGAGTTGTGTTCATTTACAGGCTCAATTTTTTTCCGTTTCTCCTTTTTGATTTTATATGGGGTTTCAAGTTGTTTTTGACTTATTTCGACGTAAATCACAACACACTTTTTTTTTTAATAAAGCAAACAAGTGTTAAGAGGTATATGTACGTGTAAACTACAATTACAAAAAATTGATATGAAACCCATGAAACCACCAACAAAAATGTAAAGCTAGCTTCCGTACTAGAACATGGTGTCATTCGTCGAGATAATTTATCGTTTTGTTTAATAGATCAAAAAATGTAAATATTCCCCTGTTATTTTTTATAAAATTATAAGAGAAATATTTTTTTTTCTAAATAGTATAGTTTATTATTTTGTAGAAAAACAAAATTTCGAAAATTTTAGTAATGTTTCAGAAACAACCGTTATTAATAATAGGTACCATTTTCCTTAATAAGGTAGAAATAAAATATAAACTATTTCCACGATTTACAAAGGCCTACAAAAAAATTATAGGTTTTTTCCGCTATCCTATAAAATTTATATTTTCTGACTCAATTTCAAAAGGTTGAAGGAATTCCAAAACACCTTTTATGGCATAATAATTATTTTCAATTCTACATACTATCTTTAGCTGCTTTTAAAAACGTTCTAAGAAAGTCCAATCAGACCAATTTAATCCCTAAACTATTCCACACTTTTAAAATTTAATTACCTAAAAATATTAAAAACTATTTAAAATAACTTGTTTAGCAGACTGTACAATAGCTATCTTAGTCACACGTAGCGCGTTCTCTGTCTGGGCGTCGAACACCTCTAGAAATTTGATGAACTGTAGATGTCTATAATAAGTTTAAGTTCGAAAATGATGAAGAGAAAAATATACAAAAAGTTTTGGAGGCTTTCGATGCCCATTGTAACCAAAAAAGAATATTTTGCATGACAGGTTTCTATTTTATGAGAGAATGCAAAAAAATATGAGCCATTTGATTCATTTGTATTAGATGTAAAAAAAGGGATGCAGAATTTTCAAGCCCAGATGAAATCCTGAGAGATAAAATAGTGTTGCATGCATCTGACAAAGATACACAAGATAAGCTAATAAGACAAGGAGATGTACAGTTAAAAGAAGCAATAGAAGTATTTAGAGTAGCCGAAATAACAAGAAGACATACAAAAGATATACATAGAAATGTTGTCGATAAAATAAAAGAAATTGTAAAGAGACAAGTTAAAGTAGAAGTAAAAAATGTTCGAGAGAGATTCATCTTAGACAAAGAGGAAACCAGGGAGAAAACAGCAGAAGTAATTATCAAAATGCCAGAAAAGGAAGGTGTCAACGATGTCATGGTTTACATAGGTATAATAACTGCCCAGCTACAGGAAAGCAGTGTTCAAAATGTAAAAAGTACAATCATTTCTCAGCAGTATGTAAGTTTCAAGTAAACGAGATAGAAGTTAATAGAATTGAGGAGGAAGAAGAAGATCAGGAATATTTTTGTTATTCAATAAATGATAAAAATAGTTGGCAAGAAGAGTTAATTGTTGAACAGATACGAAATATTTTTAAGCTAGATTCTGGGTCAGACGTAAATATAATCTCATTGAAAATTTTAGAAAAATTAAAAGATTGTAATAATAACAAGTTGTTCAAAATTTATAAAAGCTTATGGAGGTTTTAAGATAGAAACACTAGGAAAAGTTAATTTAGAGGTTAAACTAAAAGATAAAATGTATAAAGAAATATTTGTAGTTCTAAAAATCAGGCTAAGCGTATCATAGGTGTAGAAACAATACAGAAGTTAGGTTTAGTAGTTAGAAACTATAATGTTGTATCAGAAAAGTTGAAAAATGAGGTTATTGAAGAATTTTATGTTTTTTCAGGGACTGGTTGTTTTTCATATGAATATAAAATTAAAATAAAAGAGAATGTTAAGCCAACCACAAAGCCTCCACATAGAGTCCCAATTAAAGTGCGAAATAAATTAAAAAGTGAATTGGACAGACTTGAAAAAAGTAATATTTTAAAAATTAACAAAGAACCTAGTGAATGGGTAAATCCTTGCGTGATAGCAGAAAAGCGTAATGGTAATATTAGAATTTGTCTAAACCATCAGGATTTAAATCAAAGTATTGTTAAAGAATATTAAACTTTGCGATCAGTTATATATACCTCAGAAAATAAGAAAATTCCCCTTACCCTCTGAGGTATATATTACTGGGAGTAAAGATTGGGTTTGTCTTACTTACTGGAACTCCAGGTTCCTAGAGAAACAGGCAAGGAACTGTCATCCTAAGTGGAAAGTATCTCTACTAGGGTAGATTTATTCGATGGATATCTAATACCACAAAATCACCTTCTTGTAGTGACCAACTGGGAAGATTGGGAGTGCCGTATAGTAAGGGGGCAAACCCGTCCTGGGGACCACTGCCTGAGGATCTGTAAGTCACGTTGAGATAGGGGTGATCAGTGTCTAAGGCTAGTTCCAAAGCGGTAAGTACACAACCATGTGATTAGCACATGTACTAATAGTAAAAATAAAAAGGTCTGCAAAGAAAATACATATATGTAAACATAAAAATATTATTTTAGGAGTAGGTGAGCTACTGCAGGAAGAAATAAATTAGACTCACCTGAGGATGTTGGTTGACCTTAAGGAAATAGTATTTTTTTCAACGGTTACTATCCTAGATCCACAACAAAGTGTTAATTGATCCCACGCTCAATTCTATATGGGTTACCAACAATGATCCTTGTACTTTCAAGCTAAAGAATCCAAAAAATTAATTTATTTCAATAGCACATGTTACAATCATGTTAGCTTTGCAGAAGTACAGCAGAAAAAGTGTTCAAAAATCTAGGAACAAAACCCCTAAGACAATTTGGTAAGTCACTGAGAGGTCTTTTACTAATTGGATGCAACTGAATAGGGTTTAGATCTGTTTATTTGGTTGGCTAGATCCCCAAAGGGGTTAGAAAAGAAGAATTATGTTGCCAATTTAATTTATTGACAGATAACAAATCAACAATAGTATAAAAATAACAAATATTTTTTATAGGTTATGGGCCAGCTAAACATATCCAATAAATATTACTATACTTTACTAGTACTAAACAGATTGGCCAAGGTGAGTAATTAAAATATTTTTAACCCATAACAACCCCAATATTTAGGTCACGAACCGCTACTGGTTGCAACTTTATGTTTCTACCAACCATTTGAATAAAATTGTTTTAATATTTATAGTGTACTATATATGGCTTAAAGAAAGCACTTACGAAAATATTTGAAAATAACTTCCATGTGTTTCTTTTCTTCTCTTACTTGTTAGTCAAATAGTAAAGGTATAAGCGCGTAAGGTTAGTTATAGATGGTTCGATTCCAGCACGGGGAATTTAGACCTTGGTTTTTTAATTGTTTATTATTGCCTTGAAGATTTGGGGATAAATTTTATAATTTTCTAAAGCAAATTTTAGAGATTCACACTTAGTGATTTCGTTTAAATCACCCTATAGAAAAGAACAAAAGCAGATTCGCTTGTATTCGAATGAAAACAGGACCAGCTCGAAGGTCAAGTAATTGAGCAAATACATTTGAAGAACTCTCGAATAAGTGCCACAGACACGTCACACACAACTATTGAGCTGTCTGACAAAGGACCCACCCATATTTGAACACGGCTATGATGAAGCGTGTGAAGAGAAATAACCAAAGGAACGAACGCTGATGTGCGAATACAGCGTGTTCGTTTTAATATGACAGTGCATTTATTAGAATTCTTCTTCTTTTTCATCATCTTGTTCGAACAAGAAGGGAGAGGATGGTTTACTTTAAGTTGGAATATTCTTATACGGTGTACATCGGAAAGGTATCTACATAAATTTATCCATTCTAAACAATATTTTGATTAGTTTTATTAGATTGTTCACATGATGTCATGCGTCTAGTGGGTTAAGAGTTTCTCATGTTGGATATTGTAAAATTGTTCTTCGTCCCGAAGATGCAAAATTAACACCTGGATTGTTCAATAATTGACGTGGACGTGAAATTTGTGCTCAGAATATAACCTTATGAGTGGCAATGAAAGGTCTGTCGTGCTACAGGAGTACCAATATTAGAGTAACTAGGTGGACTATTTTAACTTATTTCCTAACCTATTCATTTTACTCATTAGGGTATATATATTTTTTCTTAAACTCAAAAATTAGAGAAATACATCTCTTTTGGTTTAGAAATTCAAAAATGTATTAGTTTTGCAGTGATTTTCAAGTATTATTCGCTAAAAGATATTTATGTTATCAGTGTATCTTGCAGTGGCGGCTTGTGGATTTGAATGTAGGTGACGCGAGTTATGATCGATGACCCCATATACCTTTTACAGGAAAACGGTATCGGGTTGCCGGCAGTGTTACTGAACCTATGTGAAGTGTGTGAATTGCTGACTGTAACTTTTTCTCATAGTAACATTTTAATAAAATAAAGTCAGTCTGATATAATAGCTTGTAACGATAACATTTCCATTAAATATTAAATATAATTTATTTTGGGTTTTTATTCAAGCAATAGTAATAAAAATTCTTTTTAAAAACATTCCTCTCAACGAGAGACTTATAAGTCGCGTTGAAACTAAAACAAAACAAAAGTTCGTCTTTTTTTATTTTTTGTACATAAGGTCGATTCTCCTATCCTTTAAACTTGCAAAAGTATCTCTTATGTCATAAAAAATTACTCTGATCATACAAGTTCATTTAAGAGTGTCTTTTCAATTAAAATTTTTGCTAAATTGGTAAGTCAATTTTCTGTTATTGTATTTCGTAGAAGAATTTATTTAGACTTGAGTAATTCTCAATTTGAAAAATAGGAGAATTTGAAATTGCAGTATAAGATTGCATTGTATGTTTTAAATCAGGTAGAACATCCGAGGGAGTTGATAATGACAGAGGCCAATCGTGTTGAGGAAGAGATAACCATTGAAGACCATGCCACCAAAGTTATGAGGTTATTAACGAATTTGGATTTATTTCTCCAGATAGAAGATCAACAGGATTATCTCTGATACCAACATGATGCCAATATTGAATATTTGTCTTAAATTGAATTTCCGAAACTCTGTTAGCTACCAAGGTTTTCAAGAGATTTAAAAGAGTATTAATCCAACCAATAACTATTGTAGAGTCAGTCCAGTAAAAAATGTCATTAAATGATCAACGAAAGGGTGTTTGAACCTTATGTGAAAGTCGTGCAGCTATTAAATCACCACATAGTTCTAATCTTGGTAAAGTAACTACCTTTAAAGGAGCTACCTTTGTTTTTACATTTAAAAGTTGTACATATACTGTGCTTAATACATCAACACTTCTAATAACAGCACATGCACCATACGCTCCTTCACTGGAATCTGAGAAAACATGAAGTTGCATGTAAATAGGAGATTGACATTTAACATGTCTAGGTATGTCGAAATTATTAAAATACTTAAGCTTATTTTGAAATCTAAGCCATCTTATATGAATATCTGCAGGAACTGACTCATCCCATGAAAATTTTTCTAGCCAAAGTTTCTGAAGAAATATTTTAGCTACAATAGTGCAACGCCTTAATAATCCAAGTGGATCAAATATTTGTGCAATCATGAATAAAATGATACGTTTGGTAACCTTTGTTGAAGTTGATAATGAATTTTTAATATTGTACATTAGATGATCTGACTGAGAACACCAAAAAGACCAAGAGTTTTTGAGACCCTAATTGCAAAATATTTAAATCTAATGAAGAATCCTTAACGTGGATTAAAACCTTTGGATTATTTGAAATCCATTTGCGAAGATCAAAACAACCTTGTTTTAGTATGATGCGCCCATCACGGTGCTCAGTGGGCAGTTCTGTTTTTGGGAAATAAAAACTGAATCAATATATTGAAACATACAGACATTTTGAATTATTTTAGAATTTTCGGCAAATACAAACGACATTTTTTTATAGTGTTCTTGAATATCTACAGAACAGAGTAAGATATAGGAATTTAAAAGTTCCTTAAAATTACCACGATTTTCGGAAGATTTATCTTCATTATAACCACGAAATGCCAAATCTTGTTTTTCTAGAAAAATAACTGCTCGAATTGGCAACTGTTAAGGTTAAGATGCATTCTTTCATTAAATTGTTTTACATATTAGCCTAGAGTTTTCTTTTAAAGCGTCTTCAGTAGTATTTAATTTTTTTTTTAGTTCTGTAAGTCTTAACACGTTTACTGTCCTAATGGTATTTTTCCGCAAACCGTTGCACGTTCCCACTAAAATTGTTATGCCCCATATGTGATTCGCAGGGACTCTGATAATTTAGATGTACGACCTACGTCCTATATGTGGGTCGTAAAATAAAACCTTGAATATTTGGCAACGTTTCGCAATCAGTAAGTGTTGTGTGTTT